GGGCATTGGCAGAGCTGTGGGGAACCTAGGGCTGGAACAGCAAGGGGCTGCAGGTCAGGATCATGGTGCATTGGCAGGGATGTGTGAGGCTCCCAGGGTTGGGGGAAGCCCAGGACTGGAATAGCAGGGGCCACAGGTCAGGATGAAGAGACACTGGCACACTCAGAACTGAAATGGGGGGGGGGGTCTGCAGGTTGGAAGTCACAGGCATTGGCACAATTGCCTACGGAAGCTGGCAGAGTTTTTGCTTATACCATGCCTGGGTCTAGCCACTGTTACAGTCATAGAGCCCTCGCCCATGAGCGCGGAAACAGTTGAGGCTGGAAGAGATTTCAGAACGGCTCCTAGCATCACATCCTCCTGGGCACCACCAGCGTAAGCCCTTGCCACTGTAACCACTTCTCAGTCCCACTGGCATGGGGGCATCCAGACAGCAGAGACCCAGCATGAGCCACAGCTCAGAAGTAAATGCTGGGGAGTTAGGTGGAGAGGAGGGGAATCTTGCTGAGTGCAAAAAATCTGGGCTCACCCCCAGAAAGCCATGAATAGGTGGGGTGGTTACTGGGAGAGAACTCACAGCAAAGCACCACACATACCTGCTTTATCCTGAGATGTACCCTCGAGGGCCAACGAATCCCCTAGTGTTCCCCTCCCCAGCCCCCCATCTTCTGCCTAGCGGCTAGAACAGGAGAGTGGAAGTCAGGACTGCTGGGTTCTATTCCTACCTCTGCCACTGTAAACATGGCCTCGGATCCCCCCGCCCCCATCAGCATACCAAGGATAATGGTGAGTACATGCTTTTAGAAGGGTGGGCTTCTAGACAGTGCTTAGAGATCTACAGATGAAAAGTGCCACATACCCCTGCTCCAAACTGGGGGTGGAACAGGCTCAGGCCGATCTTAGATTCTCCTACAAATGAAGCAGGGTTTGATCCTGACCAATGGCTCATGATCAGGTGCCAGGACAACCCCGGATGTGACCTGCCTCTCCAGTTCTCCAAGAGAGGATGACCAATTCCCATTCCTGACAGTCCCACAGTAGGGGGCTGAGACACAAAACTCATCTCAACTACCACTCCTGGCTTCAGATCCTGACCGGGACATGCTCCAGTGGCGCTAAGAACACATGTGAGTTGGGGGATATTCTCCTGAACACAGACAGTCCTGCCTTGCCGATTCAAAGGCAACAGTTTTAGTCTAGGACAAGCTCCTATTCTCTATTTGCTTTGAACGCCCAAGATTTCTAGATGTTGGATTTTTTTTTAAACAGAAAGGCAGCTCTCATTAAAAAGCTGCCAGGTGTTCCCAGCACAATCTGTGGCTCTCCTTTTAGCTCTAATGATTTCATCTCTTGTGTGACAGATGCGCTCTCCAGGACCTTTCCTGGAGCAAGAAAACGTCATCTCTGCACCACAAAGCACTGTTTTAACAAACCTGATGCTCTCCCAGCCACCACCACCCCCCCTTGTCATCTCGACAACCTGCCCAAGGGCTGGCAGAGTCACTCAGGGGAACTGTCTCATGGTACGGTCCCATGGCACTGCTACCCTTGGCCCCAAGTAACCCATCTCCTCCCCTGTTATGTGCAGCCCAGGTGGGCATTTCCAACAGGGGACAAAGAGTCCTGTGGCATATTATAGACGAACAGACGTATTGGAGCATAAGCTTTCGTGGGTGAATACCCACTTTGTCAGATGCATGTAGTGGAAATTTCCAGAGGCAGGTATAAATATGCAGGCAAGAACATTTCCAACAGGAGCTACCAAGAAGGCTGAGCTGCAAGAACAGGAAGAGGGCAGAGAACTGGGAATGGCACAGGGGTTCTATTCTCCTGATTCCCTGCCACCCTCCACAGCCCATCCTTCGGGGCCTGAATAGTGCACCCCCTGCTGGACCCCACTGGAATCTGCCCAAGGACAGAAGAGAAGAGGCTGCTTCTCATGACCCACTGGGTGTACACTGGCTGGGGCAGCATCCTGTGGCACAAAGTAGGAGGAAGATATTTCTGTTTCCCACAGGGCTGGGATTTGCGCCAGGAACTGGAGGTTTATAAATAGTTGCTTCCATATGAACGGATGAAAATGTTGGCATTCGATGGGTAGGTGCTACAGCACGTCGAGTGCGCTAGCGTCTCCCCCCCCTCCGGACCCAGCTTCAAACCCTGGTGCAGGTCCCTCACATTCAAAGGAGGCTGGTGCTTCCCTTGGCATCTCCATTTGTCCACATCACTAAGCCACCAACGTAATTAGCCACGACAAACCATCTCTGTTCAAGAGTGGCCTGTATGCTGGCGGAGTCCCCACCCTGTGCTTATCAAGTATATACACACTGGGGATAATCCCAACTCACCCCTCCTGAGTTTTGCCTCCATTGTTGTGTTAAATAACAAAACAAAACTCAGCCTAAATTTCTCTCCCGGCTTGGGTGTTCCTGGGGGCTTCTGGGCAGGGCCCCTACCAGCCCAGACCCCAGGTCTCTCTCCAATCAGAAACACACACACACCCTTTTATACACCTTGATTGGACTTAAGGTGGCCCAATAGGTCTAGCTCTAGCAGCCAGCGAGAGTCAGCAGAATAACCCTGCATCTACCTGCAGGGTCCTACCGCCTCACGCCCAGGTCTGAAATAGCTAGGAAGGTGCAGGTTAAAGTGGAGATGCCACAGGAATGGAAGAGAAGGGGTGCTGCAAGTCGGGACCGAGACACAGACCCAGAGCCCCAGGTGTGCACTCTTGCATGGAATCACTCTGTTTCTATCCAGTCCTATCAGTGAGTAGCCCATTCAAAACAAAATTTAAATATGAAAATTCCTGAATGTTTCCACTCTGCAGGCTCAGCATCCCAGGGGCCTGCACTCAAGAGCTCTGCAGGGTAGGCTGAGACTTACTTCCTGAAAATATTTTCCTTGCCAGATGCAAGGTCCCTCTCCACGCAGCTTTGCTCCCATGCAGATCCATACAGATCTGCTCCCATGTCTGAGATGGGTGCTCCCTGGATGGGGGAACGCTGAAACCCAGAGAAGTCTAAAACTTCAAGGGAGCAGCCTGCAATGGAACCCGCCCATTGAAAGGAACAGCCTTGGCAAAATGCAGAGAGGGGAAGAGTCTTCAGCTCACAGCTACGAAGAGGCTTTAGGGGAGGAAGTCTAGGACTTGGATAGAAAAAGAGGATGAAGCTGGGAGCCTCAGGTAGGGAAATTTGACAAAACAGCTTGGCAGGGAGATATGAAAGAAAATGTAATGAGCAGGAGATACCCAGAAGACTTGGGATAAAGGGATACACAAACACCCATATCCAGCACACCACCCTAACCCAGGAGGCTGTAGTAAAAAGAACATAGGAACGGCCATATTGGGTCAGACCAATGGTCCATCTAACCCAGTATCCTGTCTACCGACAGTGGCCAATAGCAGGTGCTTCAGAGGGAATCAACAGAACAGGGCAATTATTGTGTGATCCATCCTGTGATCCACTCCCAGCTTCTGGCAATCAGAGGCTAGGGACACCCAGAGCATAGGATTGCATCCCTGCCCATCCTGGCTAAACGGTCATTGATGGAGCTGTTCTCCATAGTGACAACCACCTCCCAGAGAAAGAATGAGCTGAACCTAAAATAATTCCACAAACGACATGCTGGGCATTATTGGCTTATAGAGCCCTGCCACATATACACACAGAGTAGGGCATTCCCAGATTGGAGAAATATTTCTAGTACACTCTAAGCCAAACTACTCATTAAACCCTAAACCAGCTAAAGATCTCTACCTAGCCCCACTGGAGTAACGAGATTTGCACTGCAGCTCCCTCCACTGCACAGGAAGGAGGGAATTGAAATGGAGAGGCAGACGCATAGGTCTAGTTATGACACATGGAACCACCACTTACCTGATAGACTCCTAACCACAGGGCGGTGCTTTTAGCAGGAAACCAACTAATGTCTGAATGGAGAGAAGACTAGTAAATTATTACAAGATGGCTGTTGCAGATACAATAGGTTAACAGCAAGAGAGGACTGGAGGCCACATGACTGAGTGAGAGGAAGTTATTATGGGTAAATTACCAGCTGCATCCACAACAGCCAATGGCAGGAGAGGGCATATATTGGTGCACTATGAAACTGACACATTCTGCACGGAATGGTCGCTCACCTTGATGTAAGTGTCGAGGGCCGGGTGGACCCGGTTCACCGCCAGCTGGATGGAGAAGGGTGTGGTGAATGGGAAGGTTGCCATGACCACATGGCTGGGAGCCGGGAAGGAGAAGATCTTGAAGCCAAACTTCTGGAACAGTCGGATCAGCTCCTCGGACGGCTTCTCCTCCCCCTCGCTCAGGATGCAGCCCACAATGTAGCGGCATTTCTCAGGTGGCACCTAAAGAAATGAACGAACGAAGGCTGAGAGGGTCCAGGCTAAGATTTTAATAAGGTTCCACATCCACTTGCCAGGGACAGGTAGGTGCCCTGGAAACCCTGCAGCCTGTTAATTCACCACGTACTGGAGTCACCCCCACAGGACAGGAATAACACACCTAGAGGAAATTGGGGGGCAGCTACCTGGGATGTTGGCAAGCTGCACCCTTAAGAGCAGGGTGAGGACAAAGCTGGTCAGCTAATCTAACTGCTGCTGAATTTGACCCACAAACAATAATCTATTCATCAAACAAGGAAGAGACAAACACAGACAAATAGCAGGGAGTGTGCATTCGTTTTATGTAAATTTTATGTAAAACAGATGTAAATGAGTTGGAAATGCAGCCCTCTATTGGGTAAAGGTGGGACACAGTGAGAACATGTCCCTGTGGAGCTGGGCCAATTAGAAGATACAGTTTATTTGTTTTTGTATCTCCTCGGGGAAGTTGATAACCTGTGAGTCAGCTTCCCCCCACCCCACACTTCACAAACACAGACAAACGAATGCCCGCCACCTTGTGCCAGCGGAGCAGGATCCCCATTTCACAGATGAGGAAAACAAGGCCAAGAGGGGGAGTGACTGACACTCACCCTCTTGGTGGCTGGGGGTCAGAGCCAGAATCAGAACTCAGGAGAGCCCAGCTACTGGTCCTATGTCAGACCACGTTACTCTCTCTGAATATGGAATGGGATTACAGTTCTACCTCTCCGTCGAAAGCAGAGGGCTCAGAATTAAGAGGCCTGGATTCTATTCCCAGTGCTACCAATGATGCCTCAGCAAGTCACTTAGCTGTTCTGTGCCTCAGTTTCCCCCTTTTACCGCCCTCCCTTCTTGTGAACCTTAATGCCTGCAGAGTGCTTTGAGATCTTCGGATGGAAAGCAACAGAGATGAGCAGAGCGTGAATGTTATAGTCTCTTCTCAACCCTCTGCAGTTGTGGGCAAGAGCCAGACAAACTCAGCTAGGACAATATTAAACAGGGCCCAATGAGCGAATGTTGCTTATCTAGCAATGCTGGCTAGTCATGCTGCTGTCAACAAGTGAGCGGCAGCAGCAGGCTGCCCTCTCCTACCTTGCTAGCCGATGACCACACGATGCACGCTGGCTTTTTAGGAATCTGCTGGCAGAATATTAAACAAACCCCTGAAGTTCCCAGGGCTGCAGCCCAGAACCAGCGCAGCCATCTCGGCTACATACAGTGCCTTAACTGGCCTACTTTATTTTACCCACTGGTTGGCATATTAAATCGGCCTGGGGGATGTGGGAAAAGGTATTTTCAGTACTTCCTAAACAGGCAAATCCAGACACAAAGGGCAGGACATGTTACTCGCCCGGGGGATGTTGGTCGGAGAATGGGTTTAAGTGGCCAAGTAATGTCACTTGCACAAATTGGGCATTTGGTAGGGGGGCCCAGTGAGCAGAGCTTATACTGATTTGGTCTCTACATGGACCCAAATCAGCTCACCATAAGTGGACACTACTCCCAATGCAGTCAATTGGGTGTTCACCTTCTTATGGCAGAGATGGATGGATGGAAGGGGTAGGTTCGTTGCTTTGCCTGCCCCCTGACTGCCAGACAGGCCTACATGGAAAGTCACGTAGGAGTGTGCTTTCCTGACCGGCCCTTGCCTCAGACACAGACCACACACTACGCAGAGTCCAAACTCACCCTTTTCTTGGGGCTCAGCTTTATTGACAAAGAAATTAACCATACCACAGAAATGTTCAGCTCAAACCCTCTCTGCAGGGCTCTAAGAAACAGTGCTCCAATGTGACTAACCAAAGAGCAGAACCACTCAATCTATTTATGGACGAGAGAGGGAAAATGCCCGTGAAAAGAATGTCCGTTAGGCTCCCAAGTCAAGCACTTAGAAAGAAACAAACACCAGAATTAGAGTTACCCATAAGTATTATTACCCCCCTCCAGTTAACAGATGAGGAAACTGAGGCACGGAGCAGCTGTGGTTTGCCCAGGGCCTCAGGATGAGTCAGTGGTTGAGCTTGAACACAACAGCAGCCTTTTGCCACAAGCCCAGGCTGCCCCTTCTCAAGGAAGGCTTCCCCGCCGCTGGCCATTGACGAACATCCAGATCTGCGTGTGGAAAAACAACAAGCGGTTAAGGTATTCGCTACGGAGTCGCGCTCAAGGGAACCAAACAAAACAAACCGTTTACTTCTACCTTCCGTACTTCTCTGGCCCCTCATCGCTGTATCTAAGCACCTTCCAACCTGGATTGTATTTACCCTCCCCACCCTGCTGGGAGGACGACATTGAGGTGCAGAGAGGACCTATGACTTGCACACAGGAAGGCTGGTGGACCATGGACTCCCGAGTCTCATGCTGTAACCACTGCACCAGCTTTCCTCTCTTCTGGGATCTTCCTACCACCCCCATAGAACTGCTCAGCAAACCTAGGTCACAACACTCCTGCTGGGGAAGCCAGGCCAGCCTAATCCTCCTCAGCCATGAGAACTATGGCCACCAACAGAGGGTTTAATGCAGGACACATTGGGGGCGGGAGGGAGAGGGTGTTATCAGAGCTGCAAAGGACTCCTAATACAATCATAACCTAGCCTGCAAAAGCTCTAGTTCTCCGCTAGATAAAGCAGGATCCCTGTAAAAGGCTGCAGCCTGAGCCACACAGCAGCATCTTCAAAACAGGAACAGCCAACAGGGTTATCAGTCCCTCTCTGGACCCAGGGGAGATTGCGCTAGACCCACGCATGCTCATGGGCACCCAGAGGACAGCCATCAAACTCCTTGGGACCCATCTGAGAGACCCAAAATCTTGTCTGTCTCACTCCATCACCTGAATGCTTCCCAGCTGGCGGGCAGGCTAAGCTGAGCAGAATCCTGCTTGGAGCAGACTCCAGAAGAGGAAACCAGAGTGCTGGCTACTGAATAAGAGGGTCAACAGGGACCACCAGGCCAGTTGGGACACTGTGCCCTTCCCCGGTTGTTTTGCAACCTATGTGAAGTGAGCTGTAGGTCTCAGTCCAGTCCCTCATGCGGAGGCGCCCACGTCGCACAACAGCAACGTGCTAGCTAGCTAGCGGAACTGGGTAGCAGTGGGGTGCCATCACCATAGCATCTCTGCCCAAGTGTGTATTTAAAAATAGAAACAATAACAATCTGCCTCTCTTGCTTCCTTTCCAACCTGTAGAAGAAATCACTTGACTGACCTGTACTCTTGTGTGTGCGTGTGCATAGAACTCACTGAGGGGTAGCTCAGCAACAGGCTGTGCATTAAGCGTGATGATGCCCCAGCCCGTTCTCATCTCATGCACAGGCTAGTCTCACAGCAGAGGGCCAGTCCCCAGCAGAGTTCCACCTCCCATGCTCATGAGCCTCGCCAATTGGTCAGCAGGACCATTGTTCTGGCGGAACGCGGCTGTCCTGGGAAGTCATGGTCATGGAGGTAAGGGTGATCGCTGAGGTAGCCTGGGTCACTCCCATAGATGGTTTGAACTGGACCTGAAATCAATGGGGGCCAGGCACAGTGGCCAGGTGTTTGCAGCGACATGTAGGGCTAAGTAGCCAGGCTGCTGTGATTTGCACCACCTGGAGCTTTTTCAGGGGGGTGTGGCTTCATTCCTAGCCACAAAGAGTTGCATTCATTAGGCTTGTAAGTCACAAATGCACAGATCACATGGTCGGGCCTGAATCCAATAGGAAGGGCTGAGGCTCCTGGCTCATCACAGATGAAAGAGGGCATTCTTTGCTGCCATGATTATTTGATCATCCAATAGCACTAAGGGGTACAAAAGGACCCCAAGGCTGTGACCTACCTAAAAGCTGAGAGCAGATGCCCTTGAGACATTCTTCGGGAGGGTAATTCTCAAAGCACTTCCCTCTTCATACCAGCATCTCTTCAGTCTCTCCTAGGTACATCTATAGCCAGCTTCCTCTTCAGCCAGGGGCTGATTTCTGGTAGGGCCTGAGAACGCTGCGGGACGGCACTGTTTGTGTTGGATACCAAGGAAATGCAGAACTGAGCATAGGTGCCAACTTTTCCCAGCACCAGTGGGTGCTCGCACCCCCCGGCCCCACCCATCCCTCCCCCACCCCCATTCCAACCCCTTTCCCAAAGTCCCCACCCCAACTCTGCCCCCTCCCTGCCCCTATTGGACTTCTTCCCCAAATCCCTGCCCTGGCCCCACCTCTTCCCCAAGTGCACTGTGTTCCCCTCCTCCCC